CTACTTGACTCCATACACAATTTTCTGTAAATTTCCTATGGATAAGGTCTTCTTTTGATAGTTTGATATGTGGTAAGTTCATGCAAATTTCATACTTGTCATCACTTCCTTGCTTGATATTTCTGTACTTTTTTGACATTTTGGGTACATTCTTCTCAAAGTATCCACAGTGGAATTACTGTTCTCAGAAAACCAGGTATCATCATTGCCAGCATGTTTATCTAAATTCCACAGGTCTGTGTAATACAATATTTCCTGCATGTCTTAAGACCCAACTTTGTTCTTGTAGAAAAGAAAAAAATAATATTTCACAAAATATTTGAACATTAATGCAAAATTGCAAGTAGATCCAAACTCATTCTTTGCACCTTTTTTATCCCAGTTCTTATCTAAATCATGGCCTTAAATTATTACACTGGTGTTTAACAAGCTTTGTTCTTTCAGTTGGTTCTCAAGAGTTCAGGACCTCTGTGGTGGAGAATAGCATTAACCCTCAATGGAATTATTATTGTGAGGTAAGTTTAAGCTGTTTGGAGTGGATTTAACCATTTTCAGTTTGTTATCTAATGTTTTTTAGGACAGAAAATTATGTTTGATCGCTTCCCTTCAAATAAAAGTAAAAATTGTGTTTAAATGTATGTTTCATTAAAATTTATTTTGGATAAAGTAATAAAAAAAATCTAAACTTTTTTACCCTAAATTAGATTGTTTTCCCTCATCACAATTGTAATTTTTATTTGGGCAGTAGAAATACTTAAACTTTCTGTTTGCATAGATAAAACTTTTCAACATACAAAACAAAGCTGCAAGTCTGTGGTCTTTGTACAATATTTTTGCATATTTCTTGCTTAAATAATTTGAAAAAAATGAATTTTTATAGCTGTCTTTACTGGAATCTAGTCTGTGTTTTCCAAATTTTAAATGTGTGTTCTCATTTTGGTATCTTCAGAATACAGCACAAAGAAATCAGAGGCCTTTATCTTACTGAACCTCACAATATTCTTGTTAAATTCAGTAAAATCACCCATTTCCCTTTTCTCAAGAGAAAATATTTAATAGACCTTAACCTATCACTTTAAGATAACCCTACTATTTCCAGAATCATCCTTGTAGCCATACTCTGAACCCCTTCCAATAAGTCAGTATCCTTTCTTAGAAAAGGAAGATCATGCATAGGATTAATATAGACAAGTCATGCATTTACTTATTTTATGGTTATGTAGATAACAACTTGGCTAAAATTACTACAGCTTCATCTTAACAGTATTGATTTTTTTTTCACCTCCCAGAGTGTGCATGTGTACTTTTATAATTGTTGTTTTTGATCAAGTTAAATGTCTTTGATAAATCTCATTGAAATTATATTATTACACAAAAAAATAGCTTTCTGTTAAGTACAATTTTAGACTGAATTCCTTTATCAATTTAGTAAATTCATTATAAGTCAGCCCAACATGTCCAGGTGGTTAGGGCGCTTGACTCGCAATCTGAGGGTTGCGGATTCGATTCCCTGTCACACCAAACATGCTCGCCCTTTCAGCCGTGGGAGCGTTATAATGTGACAGTCAATCCCACTCTTCGTTGGTAAAAGAGTTGGCGGTGGATGGTGATGACTAGCTGCCTTCCCTCTAGCCTTACACTGCTAAATTAGGGACGGCTAGTTGGAGTATCGAACATAAGAAGTATAGTTTAATTGGCCATTTTTATGTCACTTAAATAAATGAAATTTTATATGAGCTCAATAGTGTTTAATTAAATCACCTTATATTGATTTATTCAACTTAATGTTTATGAGTGATACAATTTCATTAATAGCTAACCAGATGTAGAATATGTAAAATAGTCTTTATAACTTATGCAGTCATTTAATACATGTATAATTTGAATAATAATTTTGTGCTGTTAAGTTCATTTGATCATATAACCAACATTTAGTGCCAGATAGGCAAACATGTGTCAGTCATTTGAACTGCTACATCCTCTTGCATGAAATATACAGTTTCTACACAGTAATAGAGTTCTTGTTTCAGTGGAACTTTAGGCAGAGTAGACATAGTGGGTTTGAAAACTGCTTCCATACGGAGACCTACAGTGAGCTGAAGAAGGCCTAAATATAGAAGCAAAAAAACGTCGTCATCTTTTCTTTCAACAGGCAGTTACAGTCAATTAAAGTTTTCAAACCTACAATAATAGAGTACCAACAAAAAAAAAGTTATTCTAATAATCTTTTATCAAATTTTTTGTTTATCAAAATTAAGTTGCATACAATATTTTTCATGTGTGCAGTTTAGATTGTGGAAATAATTCTCATTTCATAATCCAGATATTCAAACAGCAGTAAATTATTATAGGTAGTCTGTTTTTCTAGTAGATGTGTGGTGAAACTGATAGTGAAAGACTATTCATGGTTTATATTTAACATTTTGTTGTATTTCTGTTAAAATGTCCCACCTTGGTCTGAAGAAACGTTTTCAAACCTTTATTAAGTCTGTTTATTTGCACTTCTTATACTTGTTCTTTTCACCAAGATGACCAGATATCTTGTATAAAACCTTGGTGCGGTACTATCCTGTGTTAGTTGATTTTTCTACATAAGAGATTATTATGTAAACTCTATTGCACACCCCAGTGTATTTCATTAAAATGTTTTGTTTCTTGCATGTTGGATGTGCATTATTATATTATTTCTTTTTTAGGCTGTAGTTGACCAAGTAGAAGGCCAGTCGGTGCTCGTAGATATTATGGACAAGGACCCGAGTTCTAAAGATGATTTTCTTGGAAGGTGTGTTTGATAACTTTTGCAAAGACGTTGAGTTCTTAAAGTTTTATTCTAATATATATGTTTCATTTAAATGAGAGTAGTAGTTTATTTTTTTTAAATATAAAACTTTTTAGTCCACCAGGTCATTTTAACTTTCAAGTTGAGTGGGCTTAAAAAATATGAAGGCTTTCTAAAAACTGTGAATATGAATCATACATGTAAAAAAAAAGAAAATGATTCTCAAAAGAAAAAAATAGTTGCAAGAACAGAACAAATTATTTAGTATTAAAGTCTAAAGTTGGTCAAATATTAGATATTCAATCTGAATGAAAAAAAAACTGAGACTAGGGGGTATTGAAACCCACAGTATTTCATACCCGACCAATGCTTTAATGAATTAGACTACCATGTTTCAAGTTTCAGCTTTCATTCCATTGGTTTATGAGGAAGGAATTTGGTAGGATTGTTGGGCCGTCCTTAGTTTCTTTCTTCTTCAGATTCATTTTTAACATCATAGGATTTTGTATAACCCTGAATATTTCTGTAGTAACATTAGATAAGTGCTCTTCTTATGCTTCAGTCTTGCATTATGCTCATTTTGAAGTTTTCCCCATGGGAATTTAGAGCAAAATACATCACTCTTGTAGAATTATTTTAAGAATTACATTCAGGAAGCATTTTCAGTTACATTAAAATTGAAATATAAATGGTCTTTTGATATATCATGTAAAAGTTAAAATATTTGGGTAAGGTTATAAAGAAAAATGTTCAATATATTAAGAATTACTATTGCATGATGATACATGAGATACGAAATGTGTTTATGATTTGTTCTTTGAACTTGATTTGCTAAGTTGATGGATAATCATGTTCAAAATGTACAGTCGGATTATTCTACATCCAAATTATTGGGCTATAACTAAACTGTTTTTAAGACTTAAAAACTTAATCTACTAACACTCTCATTCATTGGCAGCTTTCATTAGTGCTCTTGCCTCTTCTTAGTCAGTACTGATACTGTCTAGTGGTCAAAACATTGTACTTTTTCTAATATAAAACTTTTCAAACTGTTTGGTGGGAAAACTCATCCTTGTATGAGAAAAGTTAAATGTGGTATATAAAAAAATAAAAATAAAATCATCAGGTGAACTTCTAAGCTATTAGTCAAGGGCTCAGAAAAAGTCCTGTGGGATGTTTCTGGTTGGAAGCATAAGACTTGTATAAAATTCTTTGGGCTAATCTTAGTTTCAGAAAATTTATCTCCTTTAACCCTATCACCATGAGTATCCTTTACTGTACATGACACAAGGTTTTAGTCTGTTACATTTAAAACTTTATTAAACTACTTTTTGTTTATGTAATACTAATTAAAATAGCATAAAATCTTAGCTAATAATCCATATTTTAATAGAAAATAAGTTTTAAGTTCTTAATTCTACAAGTCAAGAATTTGTCTACTTTGTGCATGTTATTAGTTTATATTCTTTGGTGCATTATTTAATTAAATAA